CTCGTGCAGAGAGCGGCGGCCGAAGCCATTTGGCCCCCACCGCGTCGCCGGGGAATCTTTCTCCCACCGTCTGCGGCGGCTGTGGGGAGGGAGAGGAAAGAGAGCTCGTCGGCGACGGCCGTGCACGGGGAAAGAGAGGGGCTGCGGGCGGGTGTGTCCACCGGCGGGGGAGGTGCTGCTTTATATAGCGGCCCGGGGGGTGTCGTCGCGTGTACGCGTGACGGGAGGGGGCGCGTCGCCTCACCGCGCCGCCTGACCGACGGCAGCCTTGGCATTGATCCCCCGCGGGAAACTGAGCCAATGTGAGGACGACAAGGCGCGGGGATCGCTGACTCGGCGGGCCCGCCGTTCTTTCGCGCCAAAAACGATTGCCCCGGCGCCCCCGCCCCCCAAGCGCACCGTGTTTGGTCTGGGTCCGCCGACACTAGTTTCGGGCCTAACCGGCGAAAAATGGGCTCCTGGGGGCGCGACTAGGCCATTTTTTGGGCGCCGGCGCCAAAAAGGGGCCTGGGGGCCTATTGGGGGTGCGGCTGGAGATGCTGTGAGTAGGAGTACTCATTTGTGGGGGGTTTCTCTGCCTCCCGTCCGTTCGCCTTGTCTCCGGTTCGTCTTGTCTCCAGTGGACTTAGGGCCACGGCGGCGCGGTGCATCCCGGCCCTTACCAGCGGGAGGGCGCTGTTTTCTGTTGTTTCTTCGAGTTTTGTTAGGATATGTGTCATGCTCAGGAAAGACAAGATGGTGACGGCTCCCTAAAGATGAAATAAGTTTCTCCCCGTCTATAGCCTTCGTCCCGGTGGTGATCTAGCATCATCGCTGGACGTGTGAAGGTGTGTCTCTGGTGGATCTGTCCTTGGTGGATTTGCTCGGATCTGGTCGTGGTTCGTCTACATTCGTGTGTTTTCAGGTTGGATCATTTCGATCTAGGCTACCCTTCATCGGCGGCGGCTGCGGTTCTGCTGCGCTGGTCGTTTGGGGCTTTAGCACGGCGATTTTCCGACTGTCTACTACAAGAAATCTTGCTCGGCTCCGGCGAGGGAGGGGCGATGACGGTGACGCGCCTTTGGCTCGCTTCAGTACTTGTAGTCGTCGCTAGGCAGTCTACGGATCTGAATGTAAATTTTCATTATTCTAGTGTTCATTGTACTAGTATGATTAAAGGTGGATACACTGAAAGTTTCCTAAAAAAGGAGTGCTCATCTTTTGCGTAGTACGTGACCTTTTTCTCGTGATTTTGCGAAAAGGTTAGGCCTTCCGGGTGCCTCATTCACAATGTATGTGTGCACGCCAATGCATGAGTCGCCATAGAATCCTCATGCGTGCACGTACACGGGCACGACACGATGCGCCCGTCAATGGCGACAGACGGATGTTGGCCCCCGTCAATGCATGCGCACGCGACGGCTTACAGTGCGACTTCTAGTTCCGTGACCGGTTCGTGCTGGCAGCCTACGGGCCGCTGCTTTTCTTGATTTCTTCTTCGTACGTGCTACGTTGTACTCTACACTCCAAGTTGATGCCGAGACGATGGCGACGACGTCGTGAGAATCCATTCGCGTTGTTGTTTACCGCTTGGTTTGTAGTGCCATCCTGGGCGATGGGCCTTTTGACTAGCGAAAATGCAGTCACCTACTAGCTAGCTCCAAGTACGTACGCAGTATTCCCTTCGTCTAGGTGTGTAAGTCACCTTACAAAAATTAGATTTTCCCAAAACGTTTAGGCGCCGTTCATTAATTTCTCATCTCGATTCCCTCCTAGCCTTGTTCGCCAGCCAGCTTTGCCTCCTATACCTCGTTATCTTCCAGCAAAAGCCCCTCTTTTTTTTTTCTCAGGCAATGACCAATGCATGCAGCATGTCTATGCGTTGATTAGGCGAGAAATCAATGCGGCTTTGCATGCTAGAAGTACGTGGGCATGCATGGTAGTTAATACGTCATCCTTTTAATTGTTGCGATTAAATGCTATGTTTAGAAGAAGGAAATCAACGTTTTGATTAGAAGAAGGACCGGTCCAAATTTTTCTTCTCCTTCAATCAGCTTGTACCTAGGTCGTGATGCACCTTTTAATGTGACTTACACACCTAGATAGAGGGAGTAGGTATTGTTGCTCTGACCAGGTCATTTGTAACTACATACGTACTAGTACCACATTTGTGGGCGTTAGTGGTTGCTTGAATTATGAGCTGAGAGTTAACCGACCTT